GGGAAGATACTCAGCAGGGGAATAGCTGGGTCAAATGGGACCTCTAGTCCTAGTTCTTTGAGGTATCTCCATACTGATTTCCACAGTGGTTGCTGTCAACATTAATCTTTAGAAAGAAATGATTTTTTTTTTTTGGTACAGGGGATCGAACTCAGGACCTTGTGCTTTTGAGGCAGGCATGGTGCCACTGAGCTAAATCTCCAGCCCAAGAAATGATTTTTGACATTGTCAATTCTATTCATAGTGCTTTTCCTATCACCACTCTTTGCTTTTTGTTCGTTATCTTGTTCCATCTCCTTTCTTTGGATTGATTGATTTAGTTAGTTTTGTTTTGTGAGACAGGGTCTCGCTATGTAGTTCAAGCTGGCTTTGAACTCAGCCTCTTGAGTGCTGGGATTACAGGAGTACACCACCATGCCTGGCTCTTGAATTTATTTTATGACTTCTTAAATTTGATACTTAGTTCATTGATTTGGATTTTTTATTTTAATTTCTTAAAATGTGAGTATATTTTTAGCTATGATAAACATCAAGTTTAAAATTGATTTGTTTTTTCATACTCTTTGATGTCCAAATCTTTCCACAGCTCAATGTTTTAGTTGCTATTTCTTTTTTTTTTAGTTGCTATTTCTTGTAAGTAGCATATAGCAGGCTTCTTAATAATCCAGTTTGAAAAATTTATATATTTTGCCTGGACATGGCAAAAGAGAGTTCCAGGACAGCCTGAACTACATAATGAGACCCTGTCTTCCAAAAAAAATTGTCTTTTGATTAGAGTTTAGTCCACTGTGAGTTAGTTTGACACTCATAGTGATAACTGATATATATATATATATGTATATTATATTTATTCAGTTCACTTAACTGTGTTTACTTATTTTCTGTTTGTCTTTCCTGTCATGCCACCTTGCATTTTTTTTTTTTAGGGGGTACCGGAGATCAAACTCAGGACCTTGCACTTGTGAGGCAGGGGCCGGAACCACTGAGCTAAATCCCCAGCCCCCATACTGGGTTTTTACTCTTTTTCTCTACTAAATTTTTCCCATTGTGAGTTTGGAAAACTTAAAAGAGTATTTATTTTCAGCTGGGCATGGTGATATATATCTGTCATTCTAGCTACTTGGGAGGCTGAGGCAGGAGGGCTGAAAGCCCAAGGCCAGCCTGCACAGTTTAGAGACCCTGTTTCAAAAAATACAAAGGAGCTGGGGATTTAACTCAATGGTAGAGTCCCCCTGAGTTCAATGCCCAGTACCACAAGAAGAATCAAACAAATATTTTTTCTTTGTTTTTTGTAAGACCCTGTCTCAAAATATGAATAAATAAGATTAGTTGGTTGATTTTTTTTTTTTTTGAGACAGGGTCTTGCTATGTAGTTCAGATTGGCCTTGAACTCACAGTGATCCTCCTGCTTCAGCCTCCTGAGTGCTGGGATTATACCATGCCCGGCTATCTCATATCTTTTCCCTGGAACAATGCAAAGATCTTAGAATATGCAACTTAATTGCCTGTCCCTTTGTTTAATATGCTGGCATAAACTAGAGTTTTAGTTCTACACAGGGTTTTGTTTTGTTTTTGCTGTCAGTTAAACACATCGTCATCATCATCATTTGAGCTAGCCAGTTTGGGTGTGGTAGTTTTGCTTACCATTCACAGACCTCTCACCTGAACTTACTTTCTATCTGCCTGAATTACAGTCTTGTGTATTTTTTTTTTTTTGGTACCAGGGACCAAACTCAGGACTTTGCGCTTGTGAGGTAGGCGGCAGAACCACTGAGCTACGTCCCTGGCCCTTGTGTATTTCTTTTAGCAAGGTTCTGTGGTGATAAATTTTCTCAGTATTTATCTAAAGTGCTGGGGATGTAGCTCAGTGGCACCACGCCTGCCTGGCAAGTGCAAGGTTCTGAGTTCGTTCCCTGGTACCGGGAAAAAGTATTTGTCTAAAGGGCCTTCATAGCGTGCTTATCCATGATGGTTCTCTGGATATTGAATTCTGGATTAACACTATTTTCAGCCCATTGAAGATACTGTTATTTATTTGTTTGCAACAAGGTCTCACTAAGTTTCTCAGGCTGAGCTTGAGCTCAAAGTCCTGTCTCAGCCTTCTGAATAGTTAGAATTAATGTGTGCACCACCATGCTCAGCTTAAACTTTTTTTTTTTTGGTACAGGGATTGAACTCAGGACCTTGTGCTTTCGAGGCAGGCACAATGCCACTGAGCTAAATCCTCAGCCCTTATTTTAATTTGATATTTTATAATTTCACTATGCTGTGTTGAGGTGTGGATTTCTTTTCATTCTGCTTTGGATTTGTCAAGCTTCTGGGTCTAAATTGATGTCTTTCACCAATGCTAGAAATTTTCTTAGCCATTATCTGTTAAAATATCACCTCCTTAGGGCTGGGATGTAGCCCAGTGGTAGAGCACTTGCCTAGCATGCACAAAGCTCTAGGTCCAATCCCTAGCAACACACACACACACACACACACACACACACACACAGGCACGCGCATGCACACATACCCACATGCATGCTCCACCTCCTTCCTATTCTATTTTTTTGAAATTCTAGTCAAGTAGAAGCTGAACCTTCTCACTCAATATTCTTTCTCTCATTTTTATTTCTCTCTCTTAATCTCTGGCCTGTATTGGGCAGTTTCCTTAGCTGAATTCTTTTTGTTTGTTCATTGTTTCTTTGTTTTGTTGTTGTTGGTTTTGTTTGTTTGTTGAGACAGGGTCTCCCTATTCAGGCTGGCATTGAACTTGCAGGCAATCCTCCTGCCTCAACCTCCCAAATGCTGGCATTATCAGGCCTGCTCTATCACACCTGTTGTTTTTTTGTTTTTTGGAATTTTTTTGTACCAGGGATCAAACTCAGGCCCTTGTGCTTGCAAGGCAGGCAGTGGCACCACTGAGCTAAATCCCTGGCCCTGTTTTTGTTTTTTGAGACAATACAGTTCAATTTGGCCTTGAACTTACTATGTAGCCCAGGCTGGCCTGGAACTGACAGTGATCCTGCCTTGGCCTCCTGAGTGCTGGGATGACATGTCCAACAGTGGGTTGGCTTTTGTCCACTGTGGCTGCCAGTGCTTGTCATCATTCCCTGTCTCCTTGTGTGATCTCTGTCTCTTGCGGCCTGGAGGTTGATGCGTGGGAGTCCTCTGAGTCCTTGGAGGATTAAAGTTCTTCCAGAATGTTTCTGGCAGCCACCTGGAATACTGTCACCCCAGGACCCTTTTAGAAATGAAATTTGTTCCTTATGGTTTTCTTGGCTTCACAGGCAGCAGGAATTAGAGCAAGGGTACCTGCAAAGTGGCTGGTGATTATGTTTTTTTCCTCCCTGTGGACTTACTTTTCTTTCCCACTTACCTGCTGGAGTTTCTCACAGGGATTGCAGGGTAATTGCAGGAATCACCTGCCAGACACTCTGCCTCAGGTCGACCCTGGGCTTCATCCTCTGTCCTGTGCTCAGGTCTCCCAGGGGTTGACAGAAGCCCTTTGCATTATTCACCTTGCAGGGCCTCTTGTTTTCATTCTCTAAAAAACTGCTTTATCGAGATTTAATTGACATACCATATAATTCACCTATTTAAAGTGTGCAATTCAGTGGCAGAACTGTACAACCGTCATCACATCAATTTTAGAATATTTCAGGGGCCAGGGATTTAGCTCAGTAGTTCCAGCGCCTGCCTTGCAAGCCCAAGGACCCGAGTTCGATCCCTGGTACCAAAAAAAAAAAAAAAAAAGAATATTTCATTAACCTCCCCCCCAAAATCGCACCCCTTGATTGTCACTCCCAAGCACCACCCACCCCGGGGCCCTGGCCACCACTAATCTCCACCCCATCTCTCCAAACTGGCCCATCCAGGATATTTCATATGAATGAAATTATATACTATGTGATCCTTTGAGACTGACCTTTTTCAGTTAGCATGTTTGCAAGGTTCATACATGTTACAGTCTGTATTAGTGCTTGATTCATTTATTTGTGGTACTGGGGATTGAACCCAGGGCCTTTGCACTGAGCTATACCTCCAGGCTTAATTTTTATATGGAAACAAGTTCTCACTAAGTCACTCACTTGCCCAGCTGGGCTCACATTTGTGGTTCTCTGTCCTCAGCCTCTCTGAGTGCTAGGATTATAGACATGAACCCCACCACACCCAGCTTGGTTCCTTTTTACTGTCAAATAATATTCTAATTTTTGGACACACCTTCTGTATTTCACTCATCAGTTGATGGATAAGTGGTTGTCTCCTCTGTTGGCTGTCATAATAATGCTGCTCTGAACATCCTTGTACAAGCTTCGTGTGGCCAGCCTTGTTCACTCTGCAGCATCCATGAAGGAGTGCGATGATGGCTCAGACGGTAGCTCGCTGTCTGACCTTTTGAGAAGCTGCCAGGGCACCTTCCAAAGCAGCTGCACCATTTTCCATCCCACCAGCAGTGTGTGAAGCCCAGATTTTTCCATGTCCTCGCTGACACCTGTTATGATCTAGGTTTTTGATTGTTGTAAATTTGGGAGGGAAGGATGTTGTGGTTGATTAGGACCTTTAAAAAGAAATTTTAGGTATTCTACCCAGCACTGGGTTATTTTAGTAAAAGTATTCAGGCAGCTAAATTACCTGAAATGCAAGACCCTGTCATCCTTTGTTGGTTCTTTGTGGGCTCTTGCTTTCTTTCTTGCCTTTTTTTTCTTTTCTCCTCTCCTCTCCTCCCCTCTCTCTCTTTCTGTCCTGGGGATTGAACCCAGTGCCTTTGCAGTGAGTTATACCCCTGCCCCCCCCTTTTGGTATTGGGGATCAAACTCGGGACCTCTTGGGCTTTTAAGGCAGGCAGCGGAGCCACTGAGCTAAATCCCCAGCTCACCTCTGCCCCTTTTTTATTTTTAATTTTGATATTTTGAGACAGGGACTTGCTAAGTTGATCGGGGTGGCCTCAAACTCGACCTCCTGCCTCTGCCTTCCAGGGTGCTGGGATTACAGTCCTGCACCCCTACACCTGGCTTCTAATCATTGTCCACACAGCAGCTGGAGCCACCTTTAGGATACTAATGTAGCTGCATCCCTCCCTGTTGCAGACCCACTGATGGGCCTGTTTGCTCTGTAATTCAGGCCATTCACCTTTACACACACCCAACTTCTGCTCACCTCCGCAGCGTCCCTGAGTCCCTGCTCCAGGAGCCTGGACCCTCACCAGCCACTCTGCCCCCGAGATGTTCAAGGCTCTTGTCTCTGCTCTTGGATCGCCCTCTGCCTGGCTTGTGCTTCCAGGTCTCAGCTAACACATCCCCTTCCTGCAGGAGCCCAGCTTGCTTTTCTTTACATTTATTCTGTAAATGACCTCTGAGGTGCTCAGACCCACCCTTCCCCTTCAGTAGTGGGAGCCCTGAGAGCAGGGACTTGTCTGTCCAGCTGTGTTTCTGTCACCTAGCACCTACTGTACACTTAGTAGTGTTTATTGAATGAATGACCGGACACGTGAGGTATGGGTGTGAGGCTGGGGTTAAGGGGACCCCTCTGCCCTGCTGGCCCCTGATCCTGGCTTCCTCTCTATCAACAGCCACCTTCTGGGTAAACCCCCAGTTCAAGATCCGGTTGGACGAAGTGGACGACGAAGATGACTATGGGAATCGCGAGTCTGGATGCAGCTTCGTGCTGGCTCTCATGCAGAAGCACCGCCGCCGCGAGCGCCGCTTTGGTCGCGACATGGAGACCATCGGCTTCGCCGTGTACGAGGTGAGCCCGAGTCGGCCCTCTGCATGCTGGAGCGAGCTCCACCAGGGGGCGCCCGAGGCCGCCTCGCTCCCTTTGCCCCTGCTGGCAGGGTCACACCTGAGGCGGCAGGGACCTAAAATTCACCTTGTGAGGCAAGGGGGAGGAGAGAGAGGTGGTTGGCTGCCAGAGGGAAGGTTTTGGACTTCACCTTCATCTGTGGAGGCCAGGGTGCTGCTCTCGGGAAGAGGGAGCTGGCTTGACTAACACCTGGCAGGCAACAGCTTCTGGGGACCAGACTTTGACTCAGCTTCAGAAAATGTGGACAAGTGGGCTGCCCTTGGGATCAGAGAGCCCCCTGCCTCAGCAGTGTTCGAGCAGAGGCTGGCCAAGGAGGGCAGCAACAGGGGATTGGCCCTCTGACAATTTCTCTGTACCTGTCCGGCTTCCTGAGCTCTGCTTAAGACGGGGACAGAAATTTCTGGATCTCCTTAGCCTCTGGGGTCAAGGCAGGCCACAGTCTTGGCCCATCCCAGACCTCTGGCAGGAGGATCTGGGCCTATATTGTCCCTGGGTTTTTACTCCAGCTGCTTGGCCATGCTGGCAGCTGTTCTAGAGGCCCTGGTGCCGTGTGGAGGCCCAGGGTGTCTGAGACACAGACAACCTTCTTGGCCTCCCTCCCAGCTCACACAACCCGGTCTCCTCTGGCCCCAGGCCTAGGGATCTGCCTCCTGTCTCATCCCCTCCCTGCAGGCTGAGAGTTCAGGATCTCTGCCCAGCATGTGTGTCCCGCCCCAGGACACACAACTCTCCCTTCCTTCCTGTCTTGCAGGTCCCTCGGGAGGTAGGTGTGGCCCCCAACTCACTTGGATTTACCTACTCATGAACACACATGGCCTCGTGGGGCCCAGCGAAGCATCACAGTAGCAAACACATCCATATGTAAGGTGTTGAGATGTCACCTTGTGTTACTACCTGGAAAGTCCTTTCCTCAAGACTGTTCAGTGGACCTCTCCTGACCCCTCTAGCCAGTAGCAAGGAGGGCTGGCTTTGAACCCTGGTCCTCAGAGGTCTACCCAGACGTGCACAGACAGGACTCTCCCTGTCTTGCTGTTTCCACTGAATAAGTTCACCCCAGGGTCCACCTGGGGTAGTGGTTAGGAGTGCTGCATTAGCTGACCACCCTTGAGCAAGTTGCAGAAGCTCTGAGCCTTGGTGTTTGTGGCTGTTAAATGGGTATAGCAAAAAAAAATGGGTCTAACAGCACTGCCTTCGGGACCTTGTGAGTGCTTAGGGAGGTGCCACCTGTCAAGTACCCCGTGGTATCTGACATGGGGAAGGCACCAGTGCTAACCCATGAGAATGTCATATGGTGTCAAAGTGTTCCAAAGGGGCTTATTCGAACTCAGCTGCTCTGATCCTCCACCCTCCATGGTTAGGGAGGCAGATGGAGAAACTGAGGCACATTGACTTGTCCAGGTCACATGGGCAGCCAGGGCTTCGAGTCTGGGGCTGGGGCAAGGACAGCTCCTGAGGGTGGGCCGAGTGGGTGGCCGCAGCCTTGCCCCCTCCTGCTTCTTGCCAGCTGGAGGGCCAGTCGGCTGTGCACTTGAAGCGAGACTTCTTCCTGGCCAACGCATCCCGGGCACGCTCAGAGCAGTTCATCAACCTTCGGGAGGTCAGCACCCGTTTCTGCCTGCCGCCTGGGGAGTACGTGGTGGTGCCATCCACCTTCGAGCCCAACAAGGAGGGCGACTTTGTGCTTCGCTTCTTCTCAGAGAAGAGCGCTGGGACCCAGTGAGTCACAGACCACCCCCTTGCTCCTCCCACCTTCCCCCTGCAGCCCCTGTCCCCCTGACCAGCCCCTCTTTCTGCCCACTCTTCAGGGAGCTGGATGACCAGGTCCAGGCCAATCTCCCAGATGAGGTGCGTGGTCCACTCCACCAGCTGCCATCCCTTCCCTTTGTCCCTCACTCCTGGGTGTCCTGCAGCCCTGGGCTTCGGCTGGCAGGGCTGATCCCTCCTCCTGATAGAAGCCATCACTGCCAAATACCTACAGTTTGCCAAGACCCTATGATAACAATGACATAGTCCCTGATAGCTCATCTGTGCCAGGCTGGCGTATCTCATTTCTTACCCATAACAACCCTATGTGGGTCCTGTCCCTGTGTCCCCTCCGAATAGGAAACTCAAATTCAGAGAGGTGAGGAACCTGCCCAAGGTTGTGCAGCAGGGATCCGAACTTGCACCATTCACACTGAGCTAAGCTGCACCCAGGAGTCCTGGGCAGGGGGCTCCTGACTGGTTGCCAGAGTGAGGCTCAGAGGGGAAGTGACATGTGGCCCATGAGTGCCCCTGCCCTCCCTCAGGGGCTGTCCCCATAGGTGGGTGCAGAGCACCTCACCAGTCCCCTCCCTTCTCCACCCAGAAAGTGCTCCCAGAAGAGGAGATCGATGAGAACTTCAAGGCCCTCTTCAGGCAGCTGGCAGGGGAGGTAGGCTGGGGTGGGGGTGGGGGTGGGGGGGGGTGGGGTGTGTAATCCCTTCCCAGGGCCAGTGCCATCCCTGCTCTTCCCCCAGGACCTGGAGATCAGCGTCAGGGAGCTGCAGACCATCCTGAACAGGATCATTAGCAAGCGTGAGGATCCCCAAATGGCTGCTCTGCACACCCTGTGCTGCTTCCTCATTCCTGCACAGTGTCAAAATCCAGGCTTTTAGAGCTGAATTCCACACCTTAGTCTGTGGGGCTGGAGGTGCCCTCTGCTGCCTTTCGGAGCCCAGCTCAGCACCATTTCCATCCCAGACTCCTGCTCCTGCTGCACCCCATTGCCTGGCTGAGCTCTGGGTCCTTGTGGGGTCATTATGGTTTTGCAGGCTCACGGTGGAGCTGTCCAGCAGCACCTTAGTGCCAAGGGAAAGGCTCTCCTCCCAAAGATGCACCCCAGGCTAGGCCAAATGGCTGGGGAAGCAGGGCGACCCTGGGCCCTGCCTGCTTGTGGGGACTGGCCTGCCCCAAGTTGTGCTTATTTTGCCGCCTTCAGCCTGTTGTGTTCATGGCCTCCCGTCTTCTGGGGAAGCTGTGCTTTCCCTTGGAGCCTGCAGCAAAACCCTGCCTGTCTGATTTTCTGCCCAATTTCCTGCACTTCTGTTCAGCACTGGCTTCATTTTACTCTGGGCCAATCAGTGGGTACCAGTGTGGCTGCTGGGACACCAGCTCAACCACTAAAATACTTCACACTCTTTTCTGACTGTGAACCCCCTCCTTGAGACTCTGTACCCACGGGCAGGACAGTGACTTGCTGCCCAGGCTCCCAGCATGAGGCAGGTACGGGAGGCTCAGTGGGTCAAAGTGCCGGAACTGGTGTTTTGTAGACAAAGACCTTCGGACCAAGGGCTTCAGCCGGGAGTCGTGCCGCAGCATGGTGAACCTCATGGATGTATCCTTCTGTCTGCTTTGTCTCCTAATGCCAAGTGTCAGGGGCTAAGGGTCTGAAAGGCACTGCTGAGTGAACCATCCCCGGAATAATGCCAAGAAAAGGACCAGGCTGGGGGCACGAGGATGCATACCTGCCCCATGTGCCAACAACTTCTTGGGCATTTTTCAGTTGATTGAGAGGGGAAAGCTAAGGCACAGGCTTTGTGGCAAGACCTGGGTCCCCAGCTGACCCTGAAGCTTGGTGCTATTTCCACACCCTCCCCAACACACCCAGTTCAGAGAACACAGCTAACCTGTTTGGGGTGACTGCACATGGCACTTGCTTCTCCCCACCCGCCAGTTGTCCTGCTTTCCCTGTGGCCAGTCTCCCTCTTCCCCAGCTGTCCCCTCCCACAGGCCTGGTCTAAGGTGCTGAGTTTCCTTCTTAATGGCTGCTCAGCGTGATGGCAATGGGAAGCTGGGCCTGATGGAGTTCAACATCCTGTGGAACCGCATCCGGAATTACCTGGTAGGTGGTCCCTGGCTGGACTGCGTGGCTTTGGTCATGGCAGGAGTAGGCCAGGCTGCAGGCCCCAGACAGGCTGTGTGGGCCAGGCTTCTGCCTTGCCTCTGCCTCTACATGATTCACCTTCAGCAACTCTGGGGCTGGACTGAGGTGGAGGCAGGAGAGCTCCATGACTCAGCCTGGCTTCACCCTCTGCCCCTGCCCCAGGCCATCTTCCGGAAGTTTGACCTGGACAAGTCAGGCAGCATGAGTGCCTATGAGATGCGGATGGCTATCGAGTCTGCAGGTGAGACCCAAGGGCTGATGGTACCTGTTGGGCCCAGGGCTAGTGGCACCATTGTTCCTGACCCCAGGTTGCCCCGAGTGGCCTATGGCTGTGGCTGCCCACAGCCCTTGTCCCTTTCGTGTGGTGATGTGAGGGCCCTTGCTGGCCTTTCCTATGTAAGGGCCAGCCCTGAGCCAAGGGCTATGTCAGCATCTTCCATTCTCTCCTCACTGTAGCCTGATAGGACAGGGTCCTTCATCATCCCCCTGTACACACAAGAACCGTGAGGCTCTGAGAGGGAAAGCACTCACCCCAGGCCACATAGCTAGGGAGGGATAAGGCCAGGCTTCCCACTGCTAGTGAGAGATGTGCAGGCCTCCGGTGTGTTGGTCCATTTCAGGACAAGGCCAGGACATGGGGAACAGACCCAGCCAGGGCCCGGGGCCCTTGGTGCCTGCTCTTAGCCCTGGCTGGGCTTGGGCTGGCACTCCCTCTGGGACTGGCTCTCACTTGCCCAGCCCTCACTGCTCCTACCCTGCCCAGGAGGTGTCCCTTGACCCCTGCTTGGCCTGTCCTCCCTGTCCCCTCACTCACCCTCCCGCCCAGGCTTCAAGCTCAATAAGAAGCTGTACGAGCTCATTATCACCCGCTACTCTGAACCTGACCTGGCCGTTGACTTTGACAACTTTGTGTGCTGCCTGGTGCGGCTAGAAACCATGTTCCGTGAGTGCCCCTGACTGGCTCCACTCTCCCTCTATCCCAGTTGCCCTGGGAGCTGGTGGGAACGACAGAGGGGCAAATGGCAGGTGCAGACAGTGGGGCTCACGAGGGCTCTGTGCTTGGTCTCCTGAGGTGGAGAGGGGGTCCATCAGAAGGGCTCAGGAAGTCCTCTCAGAGCCACCTCCCAGCTTAAGAGGTGACAGCTTGGGGAGCAGTGGGGGAGCCATGAGTTTCCCATGAGTTACCAGTACCATGGCATTTTTTCTCCATACGCAGGGTTTTTCAAAACTCTGGATACGGATCTGGATGGAGTGGTGACCTTTGACCTGTTCAAGGTGGGACTCTGGGTGGAGTTGCCAGCGGGCGGTGGTTTTCTTACCTGACCGATGTTCTGAGGGAAGAAGGGAGAGGGGAGATCTCCACAGGAGCCAGCAGCCTGGGAAGACAGCATCTGCGCCTGTGAGGGTCTCTCAAAGAGGGCAAGGAGATGGTAGCTCCTGAGTCTGGGGTGGGCCCTAGACTTGGGGTCCACGTGAAGAAGGAGACTGAAGCAGCTGAGTCTGTTGCCCCTACCCACTAGTCTTCTTCTTCCTGCAGTGGTTACAGCTGACCATGTTTGCATGAGGCCGGGGCTTGGTGCCCTCTGCTGCTCCTCTTCTTTCCTCGTCTTCCTGCCATGCCACGCCAGGCCACACCAGGCCACACCAGCTGCAAGTGCCTTCCTTGGAGCAAGAAGGCACCCTTGTCCTCCTGTCCCTTCTCCGGCCACCACTGTTCACCTGCTCTGGGCAAAGCTGCATGGCCCTCCCTGTCCCCCGCCGTGGGCTCAGGGTGGACTCACCTGCCCCATCCCCCCATTGCCAAGCCAGGAAGGCAGCTATTCCCTTATTCCTGCCTCAGGGCGGGGTGCAGCCCCCAAGCCAGCAGCCTGATGTGACCTCTGGCTTACTCCAGAGGCCACTCCCAGCCCCACCCACCTGGCCCCACCTGCAGACTTTATAACCACTAGCTGCACAGCACAGTTGTCTGCAGTCTGCCACCTGGGCATGTGAGCCCCTCCTGGGATCGCCTGTGCCTTCCTGGGCTGAAGCCAAAGCCCCCTCCTAGCCCTGCAGCCCACCCCTCTGCAGCCCTTCATGCCTGCCAGGAGCTGCCTGCCTGGGGGGGTTGACCTTCCTTGCTCCTCTCCTTTTTTATATTGGTGATTTTAAAGGAACTGGTTGTGGGGTTCCAGAGGCACTGGGTGTGGGGCAGGGAGGTCCCATGTTTCCATGCAGAGGAACCCCAAATAATAAAGGAAAAGGCTTCACCCATCTCTGGAGTGTGATTCTCCCAGAACTGCTGTTGTGCCTTGGCCTGGGGTACAGCTCATGGCCTCAGACCCCCTGCTGGAGCCCTGGGGACCTGGGTGGGACCATGGCCTGGGAAGTTGGGGAGGATTGGGCACAGGGACAGGGCCACACAGCTGAGGGCCATGTGGCCTGGCTGGTCTTACACGTCCTGCTCTAGGGCTGGAACCCTGACCTCTGCCTTCCTTTCACACATCCGCCAGTGGAAGGCTCAGGCTGAAACCCAAACCCCTACTTAGCACACACCTGGCCCCCCAGAGGTCCCCAGAGCACAGAGCCTCCTTCAGGTCCTGCAGTGCGGGTGGGGGCTGTCCCTGTGACCTCACCTGCCACTTACATAAGCTGCTCAGCCCCTCTGGGAGTTCAGCTCCTCTTACCACAGATGAGTGGGCTTGGGTTGGGACAGGAGCTGGAGCTGCCTGGCAGTGAGGGATGGAGGCGGAGGTTCCTTCGGCTGAGCCAGACTGCCTGACTCCAGTCTCAGTCACCCTGAGCTTACGTGTTGCCCGTGTCACCTGCTCAGTGGGAGCCCCTGGCCAGTGCCAGCTGGGCCTCAGTGTCTCATAAGTAAGGGGCTGGTTTGTGAGAGGGGTGGGGGAGGCGGGCGATGTTTGTCACATCCTCAGCTCCCCTCAGGAGTTCACTGGATGGGGATGCAGGTTTGGAACACCTGGGGCTTCACCATCGGACACCCTAGGCTGAGGCTGCCTTATTTAGACATTGTTAAAGCATTTTTCCCAAGTGTCACCTATGCAGCCAAGTTCCTGTCCCCTGGAGTGGGAGAAGGAGGGGCTGCCGTAATCACTGGCATCTCCTTATTTGTTACTCTAACCTCTGAGCCCTTCTGACTGCAACTGCAGTGTGGAGCCTGGTGACTGCATCCCCTGTGCTGATGCTGGAATGAGGGCTCCTGCAGTTCTGATGGCCTCCAGAGGAAAGGGAAGGTGGTGGTGCTGCATTCACTGCCAGGGTCCTGCAGCAAGGGCCTGCCGATCTGGCTGTGAGGCGGCCTCTGGGACCCTGTGCTTTTCTAACTCAGGAGGAGAGAGATGGAGAGATGGGGGAGAAAGGGCCTGAGGGAGGGAGCTCGAGGAGGGAGGCCTCCTGTGATGTAACCTGACCCCTCTGAGCTGAGGACTCAGGGCGACCTCTGTGGTCCTCACCCCTGGCCTGATCCTCTACCTCCCAGGGCTCCGCCGCCCCCTTACTTAAAGCCCAGCCAACTGGGCTTCTGCTCAGGCCGCTGGCCATGGCCTTCACAGACCTGCTGGATGCCCTGGGTGGCGTAGGCCGCTTCCAGCTTGTCTACACCGCCCTGCTGCTGCTGCCCTGCAGCCTGCTGGCCTGCCACAACTTCCTGCAGAATTTCACAGCCGCTATGCCCCCTCACCACTGCCGGCGCCCCGCCAACCACACTGCCACCAACGACTCGGGGGCCTGGTTGAGGGCTACCATCCCCCTGGACCAGCACGGAGTCCCTGAGTCATGCCAGCGCTTCACAGAGCCTCAGTGGACCCATCTGAGCCCCAACACCTCTGTCCATTCAGTGGCCACAGAGTCCTGCAAGCACGGCTGGGTCTATGACCGCAGCATTTTCCCCTCCACCATCGTGACAGAGGTCAGAGGGGGCCGGGGGGTGGGGGGCTGTAGCCCAAGGCCGTGGCTGAATGCCCTTTCTCCCCCTGCAGTGGGACCTGGTGTGTGAGGCCCGCACCCTCCGGGACCTGGCTCAGTCCATCTACATGGCTGGGGTGCTGCTGGGGGCCGCCGTGTTTGGCAGCCTGGCAGACAGGTGAGTGGGGGGTTCCAGCAGCCAAGCAAGGGCCTGAAAGTCCCAGCTCTGCATTAGTTTTTCTTTATAAAATGTATTGGTGTATTTTGAAATGGATCATACATATGTCCATGCCAAAATTCCAAAAGGTACAAAAAGTATTCAGGAGGGAAACTTCCCTTTCTCACCCCCGTCCCTCCATTCCAGAGGGAAGGATCTCCAGGAGGTCAGCCCAGTTTTCCTGTCTCTGACCAGACTTTCTTTTCTTTTCCTGTTGTCTCCCTTCTCTTCTCTGCCCTCGCTCTCTCTCCTGCTCTTGTTCTCTCTCCCTCTCTCACTCTCTCTCCCACCTTCCCTCTCTTTCTTTCTTTATCCAGTGCTAGGGATTGAACCCAGGGCCTTTGCACTGAACAACATCTCCACCACTACCTCTCCTTATTTTTTTTGCAACAGGGTCTCACTAAATCATTAAGTTGCCTAAGGTGGCTCAAACTTGAAATTCTCCTGTCTTAGCTCTCAGAGTACTGGGATTATAGGCATGTATGTGCCAACACTCCCACCTTATTTTTAAAGTTTTATTTTAGTTTTGATTGACAATCATTGTACATATTTATGGGGTCCAATGTGATGTTTCAATACATGAATATATCTATCATCTTAAATATTTATCATTTGTGGTGAGAACATTAAAAATCCTCTCTGCTAGCTATTCTCACCAAAAATATTTATTGTTTTATGCAGAGTCAATCAAGTGAACATCTATTATGCTTGTCCCCCAATTTCTTTTTGGGAGGGTTGAGACAGGGTCTCACTATGTAGTCCAGGCTGGCCTTGAACTCATGGCACTCCTCCTGCCTCAGCCTCCCGAGTGCTGGGATCACAGGTATGCACCACCACGCCAGGCTTCGTCCCCCCATTTCTATACAGTGCTGGCTTACCCACACACTGTCGTGAACTGGCTTTGTCTGCATTTAGGAGGCTTCTCCATACTCCTTTGGAAAAAGCTTTCTTGTCCTCCCTAATGTCTGCACTGTAGCCCATGTGTGTGAATGAGCCAGAAATCCCAGAACTCGCCCCACTGGTGAACATCAAGGTGTCGTCCAGCTCCATGGTCTCTTCTGTCCCTCTTTTCCTCCCCACGGTCCTCCTCTCTGTTCAGGTTGGGGGGGTCCTCCTGGACTCCAGACCCAGCTCCCTGCCATGGCCTCATCACACAGTGTCACGACACTTCCTGATCTCCCTATGTGTGAGCTTGTGTCTTACCCAGAGTGTCCTGTATGTCACCAGCCTTGGCTCAGACCTGTCACTCAGAGGTGACTGATAACATTTGTGTAACGATAAGTGAGTGAATTCATGAAAGAAGGAAGAATCTGAGTGAACGTGTCATGGGCACATGGTGAAGAATGCTGTCTGTCCCTTTGTCCCCCTGCCACCCTCCTGACTGAGCCAGGCTGCACACAGGCCCTGGGCCCGCATTTGCAGTGGGGCAGTGCCACAGCCCCAGGCAATGACTGCACCGCCCCGGCCTGGCATTCTCTGACTCCAGAAAAACTGCCCCTGGGTCTTCCTCCCGAAGCCTGGACCTCCCAAGGCCTCACCACTCTGAGTTCTGCTCCGAGATCCCCTTCCAGCCTGGACCCCACACTCACCCCTGGGTCCCTGCAGAATCTCTGCCTTTCCCTGACTGGGATAAATCTGCCTCCAGTTTTCTTCCAACCCATGTTGGAAGAACCCGCATCAACCAAATGCAGGCAGTAGTGTAGGGTCCTGCAGTTGTTTGTGGGGGGGGGAGGTCACCAAGTACCCCAGCTTCTCTTGATTGCCTTGATTCCTGCCACCAGGGCAGAAGGATCAGGCGCAGGCTGTTGATTTGCTCCCTTGGGAGCTGCTGCCACCACCTGTCAGAACCCTAACATCTGTGTCCATTCCTGGGCTCAGGCTGGGGCGCAAGGCTCCCCTGGTCTGGTCGTACCTGCAGCTGGCAGTTTCGGGGGCCGCCACGGCATATTTTGACTCCTTCAGTACCTACTGCGTCTTCCGGTTCCTGATGGGCATGACCTTCTCTGGCATCATCCTCAACTCCCTCTCGCTGGGTGAGTCCAGCCAAGAGAGGCTGAAAGAACTGGGGCTTGAGAGAGGGAAATGGGGCCCCATCCTAGGGCATCTTTCTTATTCAGTGGTGTTGGGATTCTCATCCAGCGACCAACGCTCAAAACCTCCCACCAGGGGTCTGGATTTGGGAAACCTGCTGGCAGTAAGTGGTGAACCCTTCAAGCCGGCCGGTTCCCTGGTCTGGGTTTCAGTTTACTCATGAGTAGACTGAGAGGGTGGTGTTTATTTCATTTTCGAGTTAGCCAGTAATAACCATTTAACTTACCAAGCACCTGCTGTGTGGCAGCTTAGTGAAGGGTCACACAGGTGACTGGGACACAGAGGCCAGTGAGACAGGATGGGATCCAGGGTTCTAAGAAGGGCAGGGTTCACCCCTACTGCAAAGGCTAGGGGTTTCTTAGGTAATCTGGCCTCATAGATGCCACATAAGTGGCCAATGACAGGGTCAGTCCTCACTCCAGACTGGCAGCTCCTGGGTGGTTCTGGCAGAGACCATTGTGGAGTAATAGGAAGCCCACGTTGGACTCACTTAAACTACTTAGCTTCTCCTGGGGACACTACTGGGCTCAGAAACTGCAACTGCCCTCAGCTGTCCAAAGACAAAAGAGATCTTTCTTTTCAGCTGGGGAAATTCTTGGAGCTGGAGAGCTAGGTATAGCACGCAGATGCCTTGGGACAGCTTGGCAAATTAGAAAGCCTTTTTTTTTTTTTTGTACCAGGGATTGAACTCAGGACCCTGTGCTTTCGAGGCAGGTGGTGGGACCACTGGGCCAAACCCCCAGCCCTAGAAAGTCTTTTTAGAGGTGGATTCCTGCCACAGGCCACATCTTATTCCAGGATTGAGCCATAAGAGCGTGGTGACATGCCCACACAAATGCTTACACCTCTCTCCTCTTTTTCTGTGTTTGTTTGTTTGTTTGTTTGTTTGAGAGAGGGTCTCACTATGTAGTTCAGTCTGGTCTTGAACTCATTACATACCCCAGGCTGGCCTTGAACTCACAGTGATCCTCCTGCCTCAGCCTCCTGAGTACTGGGATTATAGGCAGCACCACCACGCCCGACCTTCCTCTTTTATCATTATGCACATTGCTTTGCATCTTTTTTTTTTTTCCCCAGCATGGGGACTTGTATACATTACGCAAGTGGTCTCTTTACCAGCTAGCTATACCCCAGCTCCTGTTCCACATCTTGAGCCTTCCACTTAAAGACACCATCACTGGTTCATTTATTGGTTGAGGGCCTCCTGTGTGCCAGGCACAGTTCTAGGGACCAGAAATGCAGTAGTAACCAAAGCAGACTCTGCTCCTTGGAGTCCTTGTGCCTGCAAGGAGAGACAGACAATGACACCACAAATAAACGAATCATAGGAGTACTTCAGAAGGTCGTTGGTGCCGTAGGGGAAACGGAAGCCCTCAGAGGGGAGAGGAAGGTAATGGGTAGGATGCAGGGGAATGGTCTGCAGTTTTAATTTGAGTGGGCAGAGAAAGGACTCAGCGATGAGGTATCATTTTGAGCAACACTTGGAAGAGTTGAAGGAGTGAGGCCTGCTGAGATCTGGGGTGGAACCATTCAGCAAGGGGAATATCTTGGGCAAAGGCTTTTGAGCATCTGAGGGAGATGGGGGAGGGCAAATGCTGGGGGCCAGGATAGGATGGCAGATCCCTGGCCACTTTCAGAACTTGGCTTTAATTCCAAATGAGGTGGGAGTTACCAGAGGATTCTGAGCTAAGTGGAGAGCTGAACTGATTCAGGATTTAAGATTTGACAAGATCTGGGCTACCACCAAGTGGCAGGAAAACAGAAGCAGGAGGCCAGGTAAGAGCCACTGCCATCGTCCCAGAAGAGCCAAGGCCAAGGTGGACCAGGTAGTGGCAGCAGGGCTAAATCGGGAAGGCAGAAACAATAGGACTGGCCAGTGAGTCCGACCCACATGCTCACTGCTCACTGGAAGGAAATGTCTTCATGGATTTGCACCTCTGCCTTGTGATGATGTGTCTGAATTTATTGAACCAGTCCCCTATAGATGGACATTTAGGTTGCTTCAAATTTTGCTATTTACAAAAATCTGCATTTTTGTCTCTGCATGAGATTGAGGATCTTTTCATAGGATTACAAGCCATGGTATTTCCTTTCCTACGGACGCTTCTTACCCCTGCCCTTTTCCTTTCGACCTGTTAGTCATTTTCCTAATCATTTATAAGAACTCTTCTAATATTAGGAGACATTAACCCTTTACCTTTTTCTTGAATTGCAAATATTTCTGCTTTTTTTTTCCTGACATGACTTGGCTGTAGCATTTTTTTTTTTTTTTGCTAATGTAGCTATCTCTTATTTTTATGAATTCAAATTTATTGAACTTTCATTTTATTGCTTCTGGATTTTGTAACATTCTTAGAAAAAGACTTTCTCTACTCTATAAAAAAACATCTAACCATGAGTTCTTCTACCATTCTTGTGGTTTTATTGCTTGCATTTAATTCTTCTTCCCCCTGGGTATAAAGAGTGAGGTAGAGATGCTTTGGCCTCTGTCTCAGTGAATCTTGGAATGAGTTTAAATTGCCACAGTCCTGACAAAGGGGCAGGTGAATTAAGCCACTGCATAGACGTATCCCTTGTGTGTGTTGCCGTTTCCTCTGCAGTTGTGGAATGGATGCCCACCCGGGGCCGGACCATAGCAGGCATCTTGCTGGGCTACTCCTTCACCATGGGTCAGCTGGTCCTGGCTGGTGTCGCGTACCTGATCCGTCCCTGGAGGTGGCTGCAGCTTGCCGTCTCTGCTCCTTTCCTGATATTTTTCCTCTATTCTTGGTATGTACCCCAGAGCTGGGCAGAGGAGGCTTCCCTGGGTGGCCTAACCCTCACCTGGCCCTATGAGAGGTCGAGTGGAGTGTGCAATGCCTGGGATTTGCTGGACTTGGTAGGGACACAAAGTGTGGCAGTTCCTCATGGGACCATGGGCTCCTGAGTACTGGATGGCTTTAGGGAAGCTCCAATTAAACCCTTCCTCAGTAGCGTGGGGCTCCAGGCCTATCAGATGCTTTGCTTTCATCAACTCTTTTGTGCCTTTCATGGCAATTTATAAGATGAGAATTAAGGCACAGCCCAGTGAGGGTCCATAATTTATTCAAGGCCACATGGCTGGGATCAGAAGCAGATTCAATTTGGGGTCTGTCGTATTCTCTCAGTGATCCTCTGTGTGATGTGCTGCAAAAAATGGAAAGGTAGCATGTCCCCTAGACTTCTGGTTCTGAGACAGGAAGACAGTGTATGGTCTGAAGGTGGATGGAGGTGTAACTTGCTTTAGGGGCTGGAATGACCTCTCCCCAACCTTGGTTCCTCTTCCTCCTTCCTAACTCAGGTGGCTGCCGGAATCGTCCCGATGGCTCCTTCTTCATGGCAAATCCCAGAAGGCTGTGCAGAACCTGCGACTGGTGGCTGTGGTGAATGGGAGAAAGGAAGAAGGGGAAAGGCTGACCATGGAGGTAAGTGGCATGTGTGGGAGGAAAGCTAGGGACGATCTTCTGTCTCTCTGGCAGCCTCCAGTCCTATAGCATTTGACAGCTTCGCAGGGCTCTTGTGCACCAGGTGCCAAGGCTGGTAATGGCCAGGGCGGGCAGAGCTCTGCTGTGGGAAAGGAATGGTTCGAGCATCATATGGCTGTGCAACCTGGGCCAATGATTTAACTCCTTTGTTCATGAGTCTGCCCGTTTGTGCAATGAGGAAATAACCTCATCCGGTCAAAATTTTAATTATATTTTAATCACATTTAAAATAGTGAGAGGCATAGTAGTGCATGCCTCTAATCCCAGCACTCTGGAGGCTGAGGCAGGAAGATCCCTTTGAGTTCAAGGCCAGCCTGGAATACACAGTGAGTTCAAGGCCAGCCTGAACTATATAGTAAGACCCTGTCTCAAAAAAAAAGAAAAAAGAAAGAAAAATAGTTATCATAAAATGAAATTATTGTAGAATCAATAACAATAGTATCATTTATTATAAATGCTAATTATAAGATAGTTATATTTATTATTAATATATGCTATTTATTTTTCTTTCTTTCTTTCTTTTTTTTTGGTAGCGGGGATCAAACTTGGGACCTTGCACTTTCCAGGCAGCGCCAGAACCACTGAGCTAAATCCCCGGCCCAATATATGCTGTTTATTAAGCCCCACGCAAGGCACTATGCTAATAGTCTGACATACATAACTTCACTTAATGTCTCATATATCCAGTGAGGAATTGGACTTTAGACAAGTAATTTGCCCAAGAACACCCATGGGAGGTGGCTGGCCCTCTCAGAACCCCTGCTTTTAACCGCTGTCTGACACTATCTCAAAGCCTATTCAGGAATGGGGTGAGGGTTCCTCTGAAACTACAGAGCCTCAAAAGTGTGGGGGTATATGTGGAGCCTCCAAGGCATTGCAAAACCCTGGACACAGCTTGCCGAGGGTCATGAATCCCAGGATGAAGAGGAGACTGGGGCTGGCCACTGTGGCAGGGAGCACATCTTCGGCTCTCTGTCCAGGAAGAGGGCATTCCCCAGCTCCCTCCCTGCCCCTGATCCAACATTCCTCATCCAGGTGGTGCGCTCCTATGTCCAGAGCGAGTTTGCCAGTGTCCGTACCTCTAACTCCGTCTTGGACCTCTTCCGAACCCCAGCCATTCGCAAGGTCACCTGCTGTCTCATGGTAGTCTGGTAGGTGATGGGCTCAGCCCGAGTCTTTGACCTTGGCAGGGATATGACTTTTGTCCCCACTGTCAAACTCTGTCCTCAAACAGTGAGCAGGGAGACTTGTGTATCCCTCTCAGCATGAGCCCCTCTGCAATGTGGTGACAATGAGACACGGAGCTGACCTAGGGGGCCACACCTGGGCAGTAGGTCTCACCTGGCCATAGTCTTGTCCTGGGTGCCCACGGGGTGTGTCTGCTCTGAAATAACACTCCCAGGTCCAGAAGGGAACAGACAGGCAACAGTGTCCATGCAGCGTGACAAGTATCCTAACAGCAGGTGATATTTAGGGGGTTTTTAAGGTTGCCAGAAAGGAATTCCTGACAGTACATAAGCATGAAGATGTGGAATGGATAAAAATACAAAAGCAGCCCTAGTGCCGCAGCACTGAGTGCAAACAGACACAGGGGCGGGGCTGGTACAAAATGACCAGCTCAGTTTCTCTCCACTGGACATATAACTCACTGAAATTGATATTTATGAAACAGGGAATGCAGGCAATTAATTTCTATCATTCTCTGGAACAGACCAAGCATTCTCCTTTAGTAGTTATGTGCTGAGCTGACCCCAGACTGCCCCTATGACCTCCACCAAGTCAGTGAGCCTCATGGTGCTTTAGTTTCTACTTTTATTTTTTTGTTTTGCATTGGGGTTTTTTTGTTTTTGTTTTTGTTTTTTTTGGTACTGAGGATTGAACTCAGGATTTTGCTCTTGCAAGGCAGGTGCCAGAACCCCTGAGCTAAATCCCCTGCCCATTTTGCTTGGTTTTGACACAAGGTCTCATATGTAGTTCAAGTTGTCCTTGAGCTCACTATGTAGCCTAGGCTGGCCTCAAACTCACTGTAATCATTCTGCCTCAGCCTCCGGAGTGCTGGGACCACAGGCATATGCCACCACTCACTTCTGCACTGGCCTGCAGGGTGCTGATGAGGATCAAAAGTTAAGGAGTCTGAGTGTGATGGCCCATGCCTGTAATCCTAGCACTTGGGAGGCTGTGACAGGAGGATTGCAAGTTCGAGGCCAACCTGGGCTATAACACTTCCCCTCCCCACAAAAAAAAGAAAGAACAAAAGCTAAGGCACACAGATGAAGAGGTTACACAGTGCCCAGAACCCGGGAAGGTCTCTGGTAAGGAGTCTCTGTTGTCTAGTTTGTGTTTGGGGTCATGGGGATTCCTGGGGTTCAGAGACCTAGAGGCAAGAAGAGGGAACATGAAAAGTGGTAAACTTTCACCTGCTTCCTCCAGACCCTGTTGTAAAAGCCTTCCACTAACTTATATATACTTTTCCTTTCCTGGGTAATGTCCAAATTTCTTTTGTTTTTGTTGTTGGTATTTGTTTTTGTTTTTGTTTTGAGACAGGATCTCACTGTGTAGTTCAGGCTGGGTTTAAATTCATTTTGTAGCCTAGGCTGGCCTTGAACATGAGCTGATCCTCCTGCCTCAGCCTCAAAAGGCCTGGGACTATAGTTATGTGCCAACATGCCCAGATGAAATTTCCAAATTTCAAAAGCAATACATATTTATTGAAAAAAATTTTTTCTCCAAACAATCCAGACACATACAGACAGTGTAGTGAATTGGTTAAGGAGCACATTTCAGGAATACACTGCATGGGGACCTTGACATGCACTGTAAACCCTATAGGATAAAGTCGTTAAGATAGCCTGACATCAGTGCCAGGCCCTGGCACTGGGCTGTTGTTTTAACTGACATTGGGCATGTTAATGGTTATTTAAAAGCCCAGGTATATTCTGGTTGGCCGGAGTCCACCATTGTCTAGCTCAGTGGATAAACTCCTTCCTCCTGTCTCCAGGGACAGGGATCCTCCTGTCTCGCTGCTGCCCAGGCCCAGCTGCTGTTGGTAAATCCCCCGTCAACTGCACTCTGTGCAATCCTGAATTTGTCCCCCTCTCTTCGGTCACCTGACACTTTCCATCTTTGACAGCAGGTTCTCACACACTAGGTTTTTCTGAAACATGCTGCCAATGTCAGTCTTGCCTAGGTGGCTTTCCAGGCTGCTCCTAGGCCAGGCTCAGTAAGAAGACTTGGGAGCAAGGATGCCCTCATATTTCCCCCTAGTGAGCAAACATACTGTCAAGCAAAGGATATGGATGCAAACCAGCTCGATTTTCCTTTGGTTGGTTGGCTTTTGTAGCACTGGGGATTGAACCCAGGGAGTGCTGAGCCTTTATTATTTTATTTTGAGACAGAATCTCATTAAGTTGCCAAGGCTGAGCTTAAACTGATGATACTCCACCTCAGCTTCCAGAGTAGCTGAGATTACAGGTGTGTGCTCCCAAACCTGGAAGACCAGCTAGTTTATGACTCATTGTCCCCTCACATTACCAAGATTCAGCAGCTTAAACTGGACAACTTTTATGAGTTTACAGCCCTGTGGTTCAGGAGTTCAGGCATCATCTGCCTGGGTTCCCTGCTCAGGCTCATATGGAGCTGAAACTAAGGTGTGGGTCAGACGAGGGTTTCCAGAGGCTCTGGGGAAGAACGCACATCCCAGTTCCTTTGGATTGTTGGCTGGGTTCAGCTCCTGACAGCTGTAGGATGGATGTCCCTGCTTCCTTGATGGCTGCTAGCTGGGGCCACTCAGTTCTTCCAGGCTATCTGCACTCTTCCCTGTATAGACTCTCTAGACTAGACACAGATTTTTTTTTTATCCAGCTTAAGAGTTTATTCCCAAAGAAATGATCCCTATTTGGCTGGGGATTTAGCTCAGTGGCACTGTGCCTGCCTCGCAAGCTCAACCCCGAGTTTAATCCCCGGTACAAAAAAAAAGAGAGAGAGAGACTCCTAGGGGGTCAAGAGTCAGAAATGATCCCTATTAAAATTAATCTTAAGTGGGCCAGGGATTTAGCTCAGTGGTTCTGCTGTCTGCCTCACAAGTGCAAGGTCCAGGGTTTGATCCCTGGTACCAAAAAAAAAGACATATCAAATGTATGTAAATCATTATGGTGGTTCTATAAAAAGATTCATATCATTTAAAACATTTTTTGTCACTATTAAAGAATTCAAAGGCAAGTGCAAGGACCCAAGTTCGATCCCTGGTACCAAAAAAAAAAAAAAGATCACATGCCCCTTCACTCCAATAACACTTCACTGTCTTTGAGTTCTTTTTTTTTTGGTACCGGGGATCAAACTCAGATCCTTGTGCTAAGAGCACATGATCTTAAGGGAAGAAACATCTTGCTTAAGCTCCCACAAGTTCCTCCTTTTTTTTTTTTTTTTTTTTTTTTTTTGCAGTACTGGGGATCAAACTCAGGACCTTGCACTTGCAAGGCAGGCGTGGTGCCACTGAACTAAATCTGTGGCCTAAGTTCCTCCTTCTTCTGACTGCAGCTCTGGTGGTAAAGGAGAAGCCCCGGGATCCCCAGGTGTTGAGAGTGTACTTGAGGAGAAGACAGTATTCTCAGTTCTGCCTACTTCCAAGACAGGCAAATTCAGAGAAGAAACAGTGGGGAAAGGAGCTACTGGACTCTCCTTCTGGGTGGTACATGACTGGCCGCTCTCAGTTTTTCAGAGAAATTGTTCTCGGTTGAATTTGAGGTTATTTGTGGCTCCATCTGGGAAAGGCTCACAGCTGCTACATTTCAGTCCTTTCAGATATTCTAGTTTTATATTTCTAAGTTTCAGCACTTAATCTGTAATTTTCTCTATCAGGAAGTTCTGTGTTTTTGTTGCCTAATAGATTCAATGAGGTTGTCTAGTCCTTTGGGGTTTTCTTGTAAGTAATCTAACAATTTTCCAGCCCTCTTTCTTTCTTTCTTTTATTCTTTCTTTCTTTCGAGAGGGAGGGTACCGGGGATTGAACTCAGGCCCTTGTGCTTGCGAGGCAAGTGGCGAAACCACTGAGCTAAATCCCCAGCCCTTCCAGCCCTTTTTCTACTTGATGTTTGGCAAGAAATTTCTTTAGTGTCTTCTCTTCTGAGTTGGTTTTCATTTTTTTGTTTTTTGGGGGTTTTTTTTGAATGTAGATGATCAAAATGTCTCTCAGCTATGAGTTTCTCACACAGGTAAACACGCTAATAAAGCATTCTTCTTCACCTCAGTGAGGTCCTTTTCGGTAAGGGACAGCACTGTGGGCTCCGTGGCTGAGATGGGAAGTGGAGCCTCTTCAAGTATGGGAGCTGGGGATGTGTCACCCTGCCCTGACTGGGGGCTTTGCCCTCCGAAATAACTGCTAGACACAAGTTTTTTTTTTTTTTTTTTTTTTTTTTTTGGTACCAGGGATTGAACTCGGGTCCTTGCGCTTGTGCAGCAGGAGGCGAAACCACTGAGCTAAATCCCCAGCCCTAGACACAGATTTTAAAAAGACTCTTTAAGTCAGGCTTTCCTGACAGAAAAAAAAAATACATCTTGGCCTGGGGATTTAGTTCGGTGGCACTACACCTGCCTCCCAAGCACAAAGTCCTGAGTTTGATCCCTGGTACTGTAAAAAAAAAAAAATCTGTCTTTTTTTTTTTTTTTTTTTTTTTTAAAGGAGGAGAGGTTTATTTAGCTTGCAGTTTGTGGAGGTTCCAGTTCAGAGTTGTCTGGCTCCAAGGCAGGGTGGCAGAGTGACCTGGAAAAGGAGCGTCCCAGAGAAGTAGTTCATGGCAGGCAGAAGACAGCAGCAGCAGCACCAGGCTAGGGCAGCCACCCTTAGGGTGGGTAGCACTCACAGCCAGCGTGGGGCAACCTTAATCCTACCTAGAACTGTGCCAAACCAGTCAGTGGGCTAATCTAGTGATCACACATCCTTGATCCCAGCATCACACACCCTAGATCCAGCCCCTATGACCACACGAGGCTTTGGGAGACATCTAGACACAAGCCGTAATGTCTGCTCCTGGTTTCTACCTATCTTCCTATTTCCTCAGTCCTCTTTGCTGGCTGGCTCCCCCAGCTAGCCAACTTCTGAAGGTCTGAGCTTATTCAACCTCCCTCCCACACGCTGAGTTCCCATGGTGATCTGATAAGACCATCCCACAAGGGGTGCAGGTCAGTGATAGAGCACTCACCTAGTGTGCACAAAAAGAAGTGACCACACAGCTCTTGTGCAGCCCTGAGGCTAGGCGGGGCCATGGCAGTCGGGCCCAGCACCCTGCAGCTGGTCCTGCCGAGACCTGCAGCCAGGCGCCTGCAGGAGGCACTGGGAAGCCACAAGGGTCGATGCTGTTTTTACAACTTCCTGGAAGTCTGTAATTATTTCCAAAAAAAAGTTTTGGGCTTTTTTTTTTTGAGACAGGGTGCCCTTGTGTAGTTCAGGCAGGTCTCAAACTCCACTCATCCTGCCTCAGCCTCCCAAGTGGTGGCATGCGCCACCGCGCCTGGCAATTAAAATTTGTTAAAAAGGAAACCTGTAAAAAAAGAGAAATAGTCCCTGGGAGCCGAGGCCTGCGCAAGTGCTAGTGCCCTGCCCCGCACTGGGTGGCGCAGTGGGATCTCCAAAGCGGAAGCCCCTACTACGCCCTCAAAGCCACTCTTCCCACTTCCTGGTTTGGTCTAAAGACCTGGAAGTCACCTGCCCTCCTCAGTTTTCAGTCTTTATCCAGTCTGTCAGCAAGTGTCGTCAGCTCTGCCCTCAGGGGAGATCCGTAAGCTTCTCCGAATCTTCCCAGGTGGCCCACCGGCTGCTCCTCGCTGGAGTGTGTGCAGCAGCAGCTGACGCCGTGGAAAAAAAAAAATCTGTCTTAAAACCAACTGATTTGAGGGCCGGGGTTTAGCTCAGTGGTGTCATTGCCTGCCTCGAAAGCGCAAGGTCCCAAGTTCGATTCCCAGTACCAAAAAAACAAAACAAAAGAAACAACGGATTTGAGATCTTAATTATACTTGCAAAATCCTTTCACAATATCTAGATTACTGTTTGAATAGCTGGGGAAAAGTGCGTGAACACCTGTAGCAGGAATCTGGAGACCATCTTAGAATTCTTCCCATCACATATATCTTTTATTAAGATATAACATATATACAGACATGTACAGTGTTCAGTTTAGCAAATTTTCACACACAGTGCATACCTATTATCAACAGCCAGATCAAGACAACCATCAGGTGCCCCCTGGTGTCAAATGGAAGATTATGATGGATTTTCAGGCCTGGTGCAATGTAATTGCAAGGGTCCTTTTAAGTGGAAGGTCAGGCTGCAATGAGCTTTGGAGATCCTGTGCTGCTGGCTCTAAAGCCTGAGGAAGCAGCCACAACCCAAGGAATACAGGTGGCTTCTAGAAGCTGGAAGATTCCACTCCCAGTTCTGCAGAAGGAAATCAGCCCTACTGTTATGGCTTGTATCTAGATGTCCTCCCAAAGCCTCAGGTGGAGCTTTCTGGAGGTGTGTGAATACAGATTGAGGGTGTGTGATAACTAAATTAGTGATGGCTTAGCATAGTTCTGGGTATGGATAATGAAAGCCACTCTGGGTGTGGCACCTATCAATAGGCTTGTAGCCTGGATGGGATAAAAGGGAGGCTGCTGGTTTGCTGCTTGCTGCCTCCTGCCTACTCTGCCATGGACTATCTCTCCTCTGCCATGCTGTCCTGCCTTGGAGCCAGCTGAAGTATAGACCGAAACCTCTATAAACTGTGAGCTAAATCTTTCCTTCTTTAACTTGTGGGTATTGTCATTTTGTTCTTTTTTTTTCTTTCGGTACTGGGCATGGAACTCAGGACCTTGCATTTGTGAGGCAGGCATGGTGCCATTGAGCTAAATTCCCGGCCTGGGTGTTATGTATTTTGTCCCAGCAATGAGAAAAGTAACTAAGACACCTACCAACTCTGTTAGTCCAGTAAGGCCCATTTCAGACTTTTGACTTCTACAGCTGTAAGATAATACATTTAAGTCACTAAATTTGTGGCAATCTGTTACAACAAAAATAGGAAACTACTACAGAAACTTCATCCCTTTTACTGTTGATGGAAATTTGGGTTCTTCCTAGTTTTGTCTATTAGAAATAGTATTGGTATGAGCATTTTTGTACATTTCTCTTGGTAAAAATACATGTGCATTTCTGTCAGATATACACCGAGGACTGAAATTCCTGAATCCTGAGGTATGAGTATGCTTCTCTGTAACAGACAGAAACATGCCACTTTCCAAAGTGATTGCACCAATTTACACTCCTGTCATCAGTGAATGTCCCAGCACAAGATCTCCAATTGATCCACATGCCCAACCACTCTTAGTATTATATATCATTTTAATTTCAGCTACTATTGTGAACATGTAACGATATCATACTATAACTTTAATTCACATTCTTCTGCTGGCTAATGCGTGTAGAAATATTTTCTTTTTTTTCATTAAGTTTATTGGTACATTTTAGGTATACAACACAGTTACATTCATCATTGGGATCTTGTACCTTTACATGATGCATCTTGGTTCTTATTTTTTCCTATTCCCCTGCCCTCCCTTCAAGTAGAAATATTTTCATATACTTATTGGCATTTTGGATGTCTCCTTTTACAACATGCTTATCTAAGACTTTGGCCAAATTTGTCCTCTAGGTTGTATATTTTCCTTATTGCCTTATAGGATTATATATATTTTCCATAGTTTTTTTTATATTGGTTTTTGCAAACATCTTCTACTTTATAGTTTCCTCTTTTCATAAAATTCTTATTTTGGAATAAGTGTATACTCATAGAAAAATTGCAAACAAAATATAGAGTTCCTATACATCTATCACCCAGCTTTACTTCATATTATCATTATCATCTTTAATTATCATAGTATATTTGCCCAAAGTAAGAATTTGGCATTGATAATTTTTTACTGATTAAACTAGAGACTTTATGTAGGTTTCATTTTTTTTTTTTTTTTAAGACAGGGTCTCACTCACTGTGTGGTTCATTTTGGCCTTGAACTCACTATGTAGCCTATGCTGGCCTCAAACTCATGGCAATCCTGCCTCAGCCTCTGAGTGCTGGGATTACAGATGTGCACCACCATGCCTGGCAAGCTTCACTGGTTTGGAAACCACATTACATTTAGCTATGATGTCTCCTTTGATCTGTGACAGTTTCTTGTTTTTCTTTATTTTTCATGATCTCAACAGTTTTGAAAAATATTAGTCATGTATTTTGCAGGCGGTCCTTCCCTCTGGGTCGGTCTACTGGTGTTCTCATGATTAGCATGGGGAAAGTCCCACAGAGGCGCTGTAGCCTTCTCTTTGTCACATTAGGACATTCATGACATCAGCATGACTCATTCCTGGTTATATTAAACTTGAGCACTTGCTTCAGGTGACAGCTATCATGTTTCTTCACTGTAAAGTTAATAATGTCCCCTTTCCATATTCTCTTACTTGAAAGTGAGTTCATCCCATATATAAGGGAGAGAAACTAAGCTCCATCTCCTGGAGGGGTGTTGTTTCTGCATATATTGTTTGGAGCTCTTTTATAAGAGTTTTGGTTTTTTGGTTTTTGGTTTTGGGGTTTTTTTTTGTGGTGCTAGGGATCAAACCCATGGTCTTATGCATGCTAGGCAAGTGGTCTACCACTAAACTAAACCCTCAGTCCAAATTTATTTGTTAAATAATTTATTTAGACTCATATATATGTTTGGGTTACAATTCAGTAAATTAGTTATATTATTTAGTAAATGTTACAATATTCAATTTACTTCCCAAATTGGTCCAGCTTTGGCCATTAGCAGTTCTTCCTCATGGGCCCCTGTGTCCTTTAACTTACTTCCATCTTCTTCTACAGTGGTACCTCAGTTCACGAACTTAATTCTTTCCATGATTCTGGTCACAAACTAAACTGATCTCAAACTGAATCAAATTTAATTAGGTTCGCATCCAGTTCAGTTTGCAACCAGGCTCATGGAAAGAATTAAATTCGTGAACTGAGGTACCGTTGTATTTTTACTTTTTAGCACCACTTTAATTTTAGTGCTGAAGTGTTGCAGACAGGGAAAAACCAAGCACATGCCACAGCCCACAGACTGGAATCAGGAGACTGGGTAGTTGAAAGAGATGTGGAGAGAGAAGTCTGGACTCCGAGGCCAAAGTCAGAGACTTAGGAGACCAGAAAGGGATGCTGTTGAAAGTCAGGGTATCTTCACTCCTCAGGGTGGAGAGATGTGTTTGGCCCATCCTTTGTCCCCTGACCTAGGCCCAGGATGGTGATCCATAGGGTGAAACAAGACCATTCTGCCACTTTTCCTAGGTTCTCCAACTCCGTGGCCTACTATGGCCTGGCCATGGACCTGCAGAAGTTTGGACTCAGCATCTACTTGGTACAGGCTCTGTTTGGGATCATTGACATCCCAGCTATGCTGGTGGCCACCACCACCATGATTTATGTGGGCCGCAGGGTCACAGTGGCCTCCTTCCTCATCCTGGCAGGGCTCATGGTCATCGCCAACATGTTTGTGCCTGAAGGTGAGTTACCATCTCTGCCCTTACCACCCAGCAGAGCACCCAGACTCAGTTTCCAGGAGGACAGGGAGGCCCTGGTGTCTGGTGGGCAGCAAACACCATAAGGGTATTTTCTAGTTCTGGAGAGAAAGTGACTACGGATTAGTAGTTTTTGTGAAGCACTAAATGTCTTGTGTCAGTGGAGGAGGAGGAGCTCCAAAGGACACAGGTCTGTTCTGAGATTAGACAAATGAACCTAGAGCCACTGGGGGGTCAGAGTGCTGGCTTTTGTGTGGCCACCAGGCATGCAAAAGGGTTGAGAAGTCAGGGTTCAGACCTCAGCCCAGCTGGCCTTGGAACAGTGGCTTCCAGACCTGGCTGAAAAAGAAGCCCCTAGTCTGGGGCTTCTGTCTTCAGTAAATCCATTCAGCCACACTCAGAACTATGCTAATTCACACAGGCCCTTTGCAAGCTTCAGTGCTCAAGAGCTCCTTGTCAGTTCAGTGGGGTTCTCCAGGGCCAGCCCCAATCTGTATTTTAGAAACTACCCAGTGATTCTTCAAAGAAGCCAGAGTTGACTATCAGGGACCCAGCACATGTGCTAAACCACGTGCCATGTGTGACCCCAGCCTTGTCACTGTGGCCTCGGGCAGGTTGTCTAACTTCCCTGTGAAATAGATGTTACTATTGGTATGTTAACATATTTTCTTCCAGTGCCCTTTTCTATTTATAGATTTTGTTTTTGACATAATTGACATCATTTGATATATATGTATATATAAATGCACATATAATAATGTAAGTAGGATTATCTATATATATGTGTGTGCATGGGAATATACATACACATATATATTCACTTTCATTAAATGTTATAACATAAATGTACTTTTTCACATTAATATAAACAAATGTTTCATGGGCCTGAATTTATGACTTTATAATATTCATTGAGATTGGTGTTTCTCAACACTGGCTGCACATTAAAATCTCCTGGAGACCTTTAAAAAAATACTGAGATTTGAAGCCAGGCATGGTGGCAACATCCCTGTGATATCAGTGGGTATCTGGGAGGCTGAGCCAGAGGATTGTGAGTTTAAGGCCAATCTGAGCTACATAACAAGACCCTGTCTGAAAAAAATAAATTTTTAAAATACTCAGGCTCGAGTCCATTCCCAGGAGGCTTTGATGGACTGGACACAGGGTAAGGCCCAGTATGGGTGTTTTATGGCCTCTCCCCACCCTGATTCCAGTGTGCACCTGGGATGCCACCAATCCAGAGGAGGAACTGTAATACTATTGACACTGGTCCTGGTGTGGGACATTTGACTTGAGTTTTTCCAAACAACAGCAGGACATGGATATGCATAATGAAGGTAACAGCAAACATGACTGAGAATTAAGCATAGCACAGCCAGCTGAGGGAAATCCCAGGATCCAGAGGCTGGTTTTGTTCTCATTTAACAGATGAGAACTGGGAGACTCAGAAATGCTGCAGGTGACCAGGTCACCCCGCTGGCTCGGAGCTAGGGTTTGAATTCAGGCCTGATGCCAAAGCTTGTCCAGCCTCCCTCAGAGGCCTGGGTGACAGATGCAATACCAGGGGAAGGAGGCAGCAGTCAGAGGAAGGCAGTTCCAGGACTTTTGTGTCCCAGGTGGCAACTGAGGTGGTGGAAATCGGGGGTTTCCTCCTGGGGTGCCAGGTACTCCTGCCCTGGCCCCTTGGCTGTACCTCCCTGCCTCCTTCCCCTGCAGTCCCTGTGCTGCACCCTGTGCCTCCTCCTTCCCCATCCCCCTAAGCTCCCACCGTACCCCTCCGCCTCCCTCCTTCTGTGTAGACCTGCAGGCCCTGCGCACGGCCCAGGCAGCGCTGGGCAAAGGCTGCCTGGCCAGCTCCTTCATCTGCGTGTACCTGTTCACGGGAGAGCTGTACCCCACGGAGATCAGGTGGGCGCGGGCGGGCGCCCAAGTGGGGACCAGCCCTGCTCTCTGCGTCCAGCCCGGGCTGCTGACCAAGCCCCTCCCACAGGCAGATGGGCATGGGCTTCGCCTCCGTCCACGCCCGCCTCGGGGGCCTGGCGGCGCCCCTGGTCACCACGCTCGGGGAGCTCAGCCCCATCCTGCCTTCTGTGAGCTTCGGCGCCACCTCAGTCCTGGCGGGGCTGGCTGTCCTCTGCTTCCTGACAGAGACGCGCAACCTGCCCCTGTTGGAAACCATCGCCGCCATGGAGAGGAGGTGAGAACCAAACACAATGCAGGGAACGGGAAACAGCTGGGATGGGCGTGGAAAACCAGCGAGCTTCCGGCCGGCCGCTGCCTGCTGCACTAGCTCAGCCAAACAGGATTTGTTGGTGCATATCTGTAATCTCAGCACTCTGGAGGCGGAGGCAGGAGCACCCCAAGCGAGCCTGGGCAACTAAGTGAGATTCTTATCTCAAGAAATGAAAAGGAACTAGAGATATCACTCAGTGCAAGGGCCCTAGATTCAAGCTCCAGTGTCCCCCCACCCCCACCCCAGCCAATTGTGGACATAAAGCAGCAGCAGGGAGCCTGCATTTCCCTTTATCCTCTCCAGGCTACAAGCCTTTTGGGTGGTGCCACCACACCTAGTCTGGGGCTTCTGTCTTGGGTAAATCCATTCAACCACACTCAGAACTATGCTAATTCCAATCAGTGGACTAATTTTTACCATACACCCTTAGTCCCAGTATCACATACCCTAGATCCAGCCAGCTCTGAAAAGCCCCACCTATGAGTGCATGAGGCCTCAAACTTCTGATCCTGCTGCCTCAGCTGCCTCAGCCTCCTGAATACCTGGGGTTACAGGCATGTGCCACCACACCAGCTGTACTTTATTTATTTCAATGCTCAATTTGGCTAAGATTTGAACAGCGGGAATCTTTTGGTTTCTATGTTCTTTTCACATTCTTTAAGCATGTCCTTGTTTTCTGCTACCACAGATATCCTAAGCTCACCCTGGTTTCCCTGCCATACTCCTGAGAATAGATATTACTTCGAGTGTCCTGATTCATTTTAGTATAGAGTGGTATGTAGAAGCCAAGATCTGGGCCAGGGATGTAGTTCAGCAGCGTAGCACCTGCCTGACAAGCACAAGGCCCTGAGTTCAATTCCTGGTACCAAAAAAAAAAATTGAAGCTAGAATCTGGGCGCAAAGTGTCATTGTCATTGGATTATCTCTGCTCTTGAGGCCTGTCAGTGGACAGAGGTAGAGAATGTAGGTTCCTACATGTAGATACATACGCCCTGTCTATAGATTGTTCTGAAATCCATAAGTTCACACCAATACCCCCAACTCCCATCTAACACCACAGGACTCACCCCCCTTTTTTCTCTTTTCCTATTTGTTAACTCTTCTCTGATGAGAAGTCTCCTTCCCCCTGCTCTTAACACCTTTGCTCACTTGACCCCCATGAGTCCCTGGTAAGTAACCACCTTCACTGTTGCTCTGGGCCTGCACAGAAGCCAGGCTGTGCTTGGCACAGGGCTCCAGCTCTGACTCCACATCAGGCCACCCCTGGCAGGGACATCCTCCTCATCCTGCTTGGCCCCTGCAGTCCCAGGCCAGGCTACCACATGAGGAGTGCCCTCCTCACCTGACCTGACTCTGACTGGGCCACACCCCATGCCAGACACTCCCTTGTATGCCTAGTCTGACTCCCTGGTCACCACACCTGGGCTTCCACATACCCCACAGGGCCACCCCTGCACGTGGACATTACCTTGCTCTGCCCCATGGATGACTCTGGGGTTGTTCAGGAAAACAAGGGAAAAAAGAACACTTTGCCTATGCTGAGGATAACACTGGGGGGAGGGTGTCACTCTTTTTTTGGGGGGGGGTACTGGGGACCAAACTTGGGACCTTGCCAAGCAGGCACGGCACTGCTGAGCTACATCCCTGGCCCATCACTCTTATAAAAAAAATGAAAAGCAATTGCTTGACCTCCCGGTGTCCCAGCTGCACTCCTAGCTAGGTCCCCATCTCAGGCTTCCCTGGGGAACAGAGCAGGGCCCACAGTGCCCCCAGGTAGATGAACCATGTCCCTAGTCTGTTTGTATCTTGTTTAAGTTTCTACAGAAGAAATTTATTTTTTTTTTTGAAAGTAAACAATTGTTGGTTTATTTGAGCTCTTGATAATGTATAAAGTATTTCTTTCCATTTTTAAGAATTAACATCTTTGATCATCTTTTTTTTTAAATTCTTTTATTGGTACATTTTAGGTATACAGTACATTTACATTTATCATTGGGTGCTTGTACCTGTACATGATGTATCTTAGTTCTTTTTTTTCCCCCATTACCTGTGCACCCTTCATCCCCTCCACCCTTCCCTATTTACATAGATTTCATTTCCTTTTTTTTTTCTTTTCTTATAATTTTTCCTTTCTCTTCTTCCCTTTCCCCTTCCCCTCCCACCACCCCGACACCTTTGGACCTTTCCCTATTTCAAATTATCAATTATTCATTTTAATTCTTATTTACACTTTTAGTTTTTCACACTTGAGAAACTATTCAGTATTTACACATGTGTGTCCTATTTATTTCACTTAAGAGTATGGCCTCAATATGCATCCATTTAGCTATAAATGTCTCTAGTTTCTCACTCTTTATGGCTGAGTAGTACTCCATTTTATAGAAAAACCACATCTTTATCCAGTTTCCAGTTGATGGGCACTTGGGCTGTTTCCAATCTTTAGCTATTACAAACTGTGCTGCTATAAACATGAATGCACATGTATCGCTGTGGTATGATTCTTTTAATTCTATAGAAGAAATTTAAACCTGTGGCTTTTTAAAAAGGAACCAGAAGACCACACTTATGTGCTGAGGAGGCCAAGGACAGACTCAGGAAGCAGCATGTCCAGGCAGAGCTTTGCAGGACAGTAGCCACTGGCTAGAAGGGCTTTGCAAGGTGCTGGAGGCCCAGGGTCTTACCTGGGGCTTGAATCTGGCTTTTTGCAATTTGAGCTGATTACTATTCACTAAGTTCCTACTATGCACCAGGCACAGAACTGAGTATGGGATGTAGACTGAAAAAACAGATGTGATCTCTGCCCCCTGGGAGCACGGAGTGAGATACACAGAGAGAAAATGCCCACAAATAAACATGGCAGTGAGAGAGGCTGTGTGAGTGGCTGAGGATGCCTGTAGGCTTGGAGAAGGGGTGTGTACCAGGCTGAGGGGGGCAGGGGCATGTTCCTAGCAGAGCTATTTTTGTAGTGTTGGGAATTGAACCCAGAGCTCCCCACGTGCTAACCAAGCACTCTACTGAGGCAAGAGACAGACAGGGTGGGAGACACCCTGGCTTTATGCTCACAATGGACTGGATTCCTGCTGGCTCTCAGAGTCCAAAAGAGCATCCTGCCCTCACCATAAGTCCTTAACATCCTGACAAGAGCCTTTAAAATATGCTCCTGCCCTTATCACACATCCATGACCTCTGGCACAAGGGGCATGTGCTCTAACTGCTTTAGTCACCGAGGGTGACCCCATGGTCATTCTAATATCATTAGCATTGTGGTTTTGCTCTCCCCCAGGGCTCCGGCAGCCACGCTGGTTCTGCCTATGCTGGTATAGAGTAAAAAACACCCTCTTCCCATGTGAGGGTGTAGATTTTCACTTAACTGGACACAGTCCCCTTGCATGACAGCTGAGGCCCCAAGATCCAAGAAAGGTCCCAATAAATACCTCAAAGCCTAAAGCAAAGAGGCTACTCTGAGCTCAACTCCTTCTTGAGTTTTCTCACCAGCCCACTCCCACCCTTTGGAGTGTATTTTCCTTTAATAAATCTCTGTCTTCCTCACTACTTCTGTGTGTCCTGCTCAATTCTTTATTCAGAATACAAAAAGCTTGGACATCCCATGAGTCTCAGACCAACTGTTTGGTGACACTACCCCTGAGCTACATCTCCACCTTATAATTTTTAAAAATGGTAAGAATTCCATTAGGCAGTTTCTTGGCCCCCAGGCAACCTCTCTTTAAGTCTAGAGCTAGGGAGATGGCAGTGCTCCCCAAGGCCTGACAGATGGTAGAAAGACCCAAAAGGCAGCCTGGCCCACAGAACTTTCCAGAGCCCCACCAGATTACCTTCCTTGGAGCTTTTCCCATTGGAACACAGTTGGCAAAACCAATGAGCCCAATGCACCCAAGGACAAAAATCAAGGACTAAACAGTTCAAAGGGAAGAACAGGAAATGCAAGACAGTAGAACAAAAAGAAAGGAATCTTCAACATGAAGAAATCATCATAAAAAATTTTACAAAGCAAAAATTTAGCTGGGCATGGTAGCCTATGCCTATAATCCCAGCAATGGGAGGCTGAGGCGGGAGGACTGAAAGTTTGAGCCCAGCCTGGGCAACTCAAGTGAGAATCTGCCTCAAAAAATTGAGGGCCCGGGATTTAGCTCAGTGGTGCTGTGCTTGCCTGGGAAGCTCAAGGTCCTGAGTTTGAATCTTGGTATTGGGGAGAAAAAAATTGAAAAAGAGCTGGGCATATGGTTCAGTGTGAAGGCCCTAGGTTCAATCCCCAATACCACATATACATACATATATATATATGGGCGGGTGTGGTGGCACACACCTATAATTCAAGCACTCAGGAGGCTGAGGCAGGAGGATGGTATTAAAGCCCTGAATGAAGAGATTGGAAATATGGAAATACAAGTGTTCAAAAGTAAGGATAAAAACTTGGATAAAATGGTTGGAATATTGAAAAAAAATCTAAAAATGGAAACTGCTAAATGTAGATAGGAAAAATGGGCAAAATAGGTAGGTATTAAAACAAGAACATAGAGCCAGGTGTGGTGGTGCACACCTGTTATTTCAGCACTCTAGGAGGCTGAGGCAGGATGATTGCAGAGTGAGCCCAACTGAGGCAATTTAGCAACTTAATGAGACCCTGTCTCAAAGAAAAAGAAAAAAAGGAAAACAAAAATGTTCTGGGATATAGCTTGTGAAGGCCTTGGGTTCCCAGTACTGAAAAAAAGAAAAAAAGATAACGATAACAAACTTTCCATTTACCTTTGAACAGAGTCAAAGAAAACCTCTCCAAGAAGGATGCAAGTGACAAGAGTGAAGAAATTTCTCTTCAGCAGCTGGGAGCCTCTCCCCTCAAAGAAACCATCTAAGCTGCCCAGAGCCCAGTGCCAGCTGGCTCAGCCTGATCCAGATTGTCACTGGGGCTTCTCCTGGGGTCTGGAGTGGGGTGGGACAGCTGGGACCTGGTCCACTGAAGGACACCAGCAACACCTTATCTAGAAGAGGCACCCCCAGGCCCAGGCTCGGCCCTCAGAAGGAAGCCCTCGCTGTCCGCAATCACAAAGGAGAAAGCACCTTGGGGCTGTAGCAGTGAAAGTCCTGCTTTCCTCTCCTCCAAATCTGCCCGGAAACCTCCATTTGCTCTGCTTCCCCTGTAGAACGCTGTGTCTTTTACGGTGTAGGGTGACATCTCTACCACAGGCTGTCCTTGGAACAGCCCCGCTTGACTTGAGGAACTTCCAGAACTCATTCTATTCTATCCATTTGGAAAAAGTGAATACTCCTTGGCTTGGAGCTTGTGTCTGTGTGAATTACCTCCTCTTTAGGCAAAAGTCTCCACAGGAGGACTTCCTGCTGATTTTTTTCCCCTTTTTTGGTGGTGGTGGTACAGGGCCTTTGCACTGAGCTACATCCCCAACCCTTTGTTTTTTGGGTTTTTTCCCCCAGCCCTTTGTTTTTGTTTTTTTGTTTTGTTTTGCTTTGGGTGACCAGTTCTAGCTAAATTGCCCAGGCTGGGCTTGCTATCCTGTCTCAGCCCCCAGAGTGCTGGGATTATAGGTGTGAAGCACCACACCCCACTTCCTGCCTACTTCTGTAGCCCCTTCTATATCCTCTTCCAGGGGTCCATGCAGATGGTACAGTAGATAGCTGATGAATAAATGATGAGACCAGATTCAGGAAATGGGTACTGACCCTCGCTGTCCTTTGCATTCCTAGCCGGAGGGCTTTGTAGAAGTAGGAGCTGGTTTGGTTCCCCAAAGTTCTCACCAGGGAGCAGTGCTAGCATGGCACAGCATCCGCCTGCCCTCAGACCCATTTCCAGCCCGGTGGTGCTGGCAGATTTACTGAAGTAGACTGAACAGTTACAGCACCCCTATTTCTCTTTGTTGTGTGTAGTGATCTCTCCAGTGGTTCCTCTAAGGCAGGGCTAAGTCACCTTTGCTTGACTGTGTCCTGCACATAGTAGGTGCTCAGTTCATGTTCCAGTAGTAGGTGAGAGTCATGAAGAGAAAAAACAATAACTGCCAAATACTGAGGGAAGAGGCAGAAAAACTAGATAGGGACCTGGGTACATGAACACGAACTTACACATGTTTGAAACCAATCTGTTAGGCCTAGTGCAGTGGTGCACACCTGTAATCCCAGCACTCAGGAGGCCGAGGCAGGAGGATCACCATTAATTCGAGGCCAGCCTGGACTGCATATGAAACCTTGTCTCAAAAAAAATCTAAAGAGAGACCAGTGGGTCGGAGCAGCGCGCTGGCAGCCGCTATCGCTCGCGCCCTTCCCGGGAGCCCGGGGAGGACACTAAGAGGTTCGGTAGCGAGGGCTGGTGGGGGTGCCGTGTGCGTATGGCTGTTAGTGTGTGTGTGCTCGCGTGAGCGGCGGAAAAATCAGGAAGTCACAGCGGCGAAGCACACACAGACAAGTTTGATCGCCTTGACCGGATGCGCGCAAGGGAGGAAGCGGGCTCGGACGCTGGCCTAGGTCGCGGCGCGATGCTCCCTGCCGCCGCCGGGGCACTGCCAGTCCCGCGCCCCTTTTTGTTCCGCCTCCCGCAGGTAAGGAGCCGGCGACGCTGCCTCTCGCTGTGCGCAGAGCCCTCTGGCTCTTTCCCTGCCAGCCCCGCCAGGCTTCGGCTCGCCTTTTCTGCAAAGTCAGGCAGGCGGGGGAAACGGGCTCCCCCTCCTCCGATCTCGATTGCGTGCAAAACTTTCCAGCAGGAGGCACGGTGAGGGGGAAGAAGGCCTTGTTGGGCTGCTGTCCCTTGTCAGTTCTTTCTTCTCTAGGTCCTGAGAGCGCGAGTGGCAGCGTCCTGCGGTTTTTGCACATTCAAACTTCGGGCCTAAACGTGCCTCCAACTCTCGCAGGATTTACTCCAGCAAGAAAATAAATATTCCAAGTCATCCGTTCGCTCTTGCCAGGCATTTGGATGTTTTATAGGAAGGAGGAGGGCTTGGGAGTCAAGGGAGTGTGGGTGTTGTGCAGAATCCTTTCCTTATTCAATGTCTGCACCGAGTGTTATGTAATTTTAGCAGCACATGAGTGCAAAGCCCACACTGGGTTTCTCCTTTCTTTGTTTATATAACTTTTAGGAGAGTTGTGTTAGGTTGTCTCCGTTTCTCCCATAGTTCTTCATCTGACAGAGGTTGGTGCTTTGAAAAAACAAAGCGACCCAGGTTAGTAATGTTTTGGAGAGATGTCATCATTGTCACCTTTCTGGTCATTATGTAGACATGTACTCCTTTGTACATGTAACGTTGGAGCATAAGGAAGACATTAAGGACACACATTTGTTTATTGAATTGAGTGGCTATTTTTAACCTCTCTACCTTACCAATGGTAGAATTAAATTTCTAGAAATCTTTTTTTTTTTTTGGTACCGGGGATTGAACTTGGGACCTTGAGCCTACGAGGCAGGCAGCGAAACCACTGAGCTAAATCCCCGGCTGGTAGAGTTAACTTTCAAACTTTTATCCCACGGGATATTTTTGAATTTACACCTGGTTGTATGCCTTGCTTGCGTGAAGAGAATGCTCCTATGAACAGTGAGGTTTCTTAGCAATTGGGTAGCAGAAAATTCCTGTTCCTCTATCTAAGGTCCACACCACCGAGAACCATACTAAAATAAAAACCATGCCCTATGCTGTGAAAAAAAAAAAAATCAAAAGATCCAAGGATTTAGCTCAGTGGCACTGCACCTGCCTCCCAAGTGCAAGGTCCTGAGTTCGATCCTGGGTATCAAAAAAAAAAAATCAAAAGATCCAAGGATTTAGCTCAGTGGCACTGCACCTGCCTCCCAAGTGCAAGGTCCTGAGTTCGATCCTGGGTATCAAAAAAAAAAAATCAAAAGAAAGAAACAAATCTGTTAAACCAAATGTGACAGTGCACTCCTATGATCCCACCACTTGAGGCTGAGGTAGGAGGATCACAAATTTAAGGCCAGCCTGAGATATATAACAAACTCAAAGCCAGCTTGAACTACATAGTGAGATCCTGTCCCAAAACAAAACAAAATAAAAATCTGTTATAAACACCATTTTATCTTTATTTCTGAGGAAATTTAGAGGAGTAGTTCTCAATCCTGGAATCACCTGTGAGCCTTTAAAAAAAAAAAATAGGGCTGGGGATTTAGCTTAGTGGTTTGACCGCCTGCCTCGTAAGCACAAGGACCCAAGTTCGACCCCCAGTACCAAAAAAAAAAAAAGTACTATGGCTGGGGCACACTCCACAGAATTCTGATGTCCTCAGTTGGGGCTGAGACCCAGGATGAGAACCCCTGGTCTAGACATCATTTTCCTAGCCAGCAAGAGGATGTACACAACTTAACCAGGAGATAGGGGTAATTATAACAAGCCTGTGAAACTGCTAGGCACTGGGTACGTTACCATGAAGTTAGTAAGCAAATCTGACTTCCCAGGGTAAAGGTAACCCATGCCATTAACTAAACAAATGCGATATCTTATGGCAAATAATCTGTCCACGAAGTTTCCTACCACAAACGTAATCTTGATTTTACCCCCATTTTGTAGCTGTGAAGTTACAAGCTGCGGGCCATAGGATAAACGCATAAAGCCTCTGACTGGGGCTGGGTATTTAGCTCAGTGGTTCTGGCGCCTGTCTCGAAAGCGCAAGGTCCTGAGTTCAAACCCTGGTACCAAAAAACAAAAAACAAACAAATAAAGCCTCTGACTATGCTTGTCCTTCTTGGCAAAAATCACTGGCCAGAAACTGGTCAGTGAAGACCAGTCAGTCGCCAATGGTGATGATGTATACCTGCAGCTGTTTGAACAGCACTTCACTTGGCTGGTGGCCCTGATCATCTTTCTGGTGACTGGGAAATACCTTCCAGACTCCTCTCCTTTTCTATCTGAAGGCACTGGCTAGCTAGTATGTTTAATTTTCAGGAGAGCCTCTGGGGAGAGTCTTTAGACATCTTGAAGTTTCTAAGTAGTACTGGGCCTTGTGGCTGTAGGTGTCGGCTCACAGGGTGCCCAGATGCTGTGGATTTTTGCTTTTTTTTTGTACCAGGGATTGAACTCGGGTCCTTGCACTTTCGAGGCAGGTGGTGGAAGCACTGAGCTAAATCCCTGGCCCTAAGATGCTGTGGTTTACTAGGGGTGGGTTGGGTGTGTTCCAGGAGCAGTGGCTAAATTAAAAGCCAAGGAGGTGTCCTGGGCCATTTCTTCAGGCTCAGAGGAAGTTGTCAAAAATTGTGCATGGAAAAGAGACCTCCACTTAATGTGGGCTGTGGTGTTTGCCCTGGAAAACAGCCCCGAATCCACCTTGGGACATTTTTCACTGACCTGTCACCACGCTGGCCAGCCCTGTGCTGCCAAGCATCAGGTGCCATCAATAAATGGACTTTAGAGAAACTGACGAAGACAACTGGATGCTGGCATGTCCCCAGTACAGCACACACTTCCAGTGTGGCCTTGGACTGCAGCAGGACACCCCGCTTAATAGAGTGTTTAATGGTGAGGTCAGGGAGGAGTGGGCAGGCACAGAATGGCTATGAGATCAAGCTGCAGGCTGACCTCAAACTCACTGTGTAGCCCAGACTGACCTTAAACTCATGGCAATAAAAACTGGGCTGGGGATGTAACTTAGTTGTAGAGCATCCCTGGGCTCAAGCCTCAATAACCCCTACATACACACACAGACACACACACACACACACACACACACTAACTAACATATGGTTATTATTTGAATCAGTTTGAATTATTACTGTTTTTAGAAACAAAAATTTCTCCTCAAAACAAAATAATTGAATATAATTTTTTTTTTTTGGTACCGGGGATTGAACTCAGGACCTTGCGCTTGCAAGGCAGGCGCTGGAACCACTGAGCTAAATCCCTGACCCTAATTGAATATAATTTAATGAAAATAATACATTAAAGTGCCTCAGCTACTTTAGAAAATTTAATGTAAAAATATGTTGATCGAACTATGTAAACTCTAAAAAAAGTTGATTATATATATGAGCTATGACAGTGTTTAATTACTGAGTTAATTTCAATATGTTTTATTTTGCTTGTTGAATCCTTTTTGTGAGGCTTGTTTTAAATAAATTTTAACAATGTAGATGAAATTACAGTTCTTGCTATTACAAATGACTTTTATTTTAATTCTAATATTGATGTAATCTTGGTATGTGTTATCATTTCCTATGTGATGGCTTTTAAATTTTTTATTTATTTTTTTCATTTATCTACCTATTTATTTTTTGTTTTTTATTTTGGGGGTTTTTTTTTGGTACCAGGGATCAAACTCCGGTCCTTCTGCTTGAGCAGCAGGCAGCGAAACCACTGAGCTAAATCCCCAGCCCTACTTATTTATTTTTATGATGAGGTTTCACTACATTACCCACGCTGGCCTCCAACTCTGGGCTTACATGATCCTCCAGCCTCAGCCTCCTGATTAGCTGGGACTGAAACAGGATTGAAGAACTAAAGATAGGTAGGAAGAAGACAGGGTAAAACTGCAGCTCCAAGACATAGTTCCTTTTACTCCATCAGCCTGTTTTTTTCCACTCTCCACATTCCTAAAGTCCTAAGAGTCTCAAAGACTTCCATTCTGGATAAACAATATACTATTACATGGGCGTTGTATCTCTAAAAGTGGTTTTCAGGGTCAGTTTTTACTTTAGCCCACTACTGGGGCAACCTGACCTTAAGGAAACAGACCC